TCTATTCATTAAGAGAATGTAACTATATATCTATCCTACCCATTTTGAATACACAGGTACAAAATGTACATTCATCTGTATCCCCTTTTTTAATTTAGTTCCATTATTTGAATATTATAAGTGTGTTAACTCAGCAAAATACTCTAAAAGAGTCCAGTAGTCCATAACAGTATTGGGTCTTCTGCTTCACTTGCAATGTCAGAAATTGTTGACTTGAGTCCCCTACAGCTCAACATAACACCATGGCTTTACTTCTTATACTTTGTTTTTATACTTTTCTGCTGAATGGTTAAGACCAAGGTAAAGCAAGACCTGTGCAGCAAGAGTTGTAGCTTTTGGGCCTGATAAGGTCAGTGAAATCCCCTCAGGGTTTATCCTGAGATCCTGTACCTCAGATTGTAGATTCTTTGTCAGTGTCAGCCATGTGGATGAGTCACGGCCATTGCTTGGCCAATGTGTTCTCGGTGAAAGCCATAGAGAATGTTTTCTCTCCATGTGACTCTACTTAGGCACTCTCTACATCATCGATCACTTTCCTCTGTGGCCCCATAATCTCCTTGATCAGAAAATTTGGGACACAACTGAGTTACATGATGTTATGGTACAAGTTCTCCTATGTCCTGAGTCTTCATTGACCTTGGAAGACTAGGGCCAAAATGTTGGCTTTCTTTACACCCTCCTTTTTCTCTAATTTTTGTCTGCAAATTCAAGTTGTTAACCCTCCAGAAGAGAAGCATATTGTTATTACTATACAACCTAGGATGTTAAGCTTAACCTCACTATCTGTCTGAATATCAAACATCTTAGGCATAACATGGAACAGGTATTTTTCATCAAGTATTGACATATTGAACTTTAAGTCCCTACAGAATACGATGAAAAAAACATTTAAAAATTAGAATATATTTTAAAAATAGGCATAAAGAATTGTATAATTCTTATGTTTACACATAAGTCCAAAAATCTAACCATATACAGCCTTGAAGCAGGACAGTCCCACAACATTCTTTTTCCTGTCCCCTGCCTTCATTCACAGCCCCTTCTTTTGGAACAAATTTCTTCTAATGTGTCCAAGGTTTCGGTGTGCAGTTCTTCATAGTAAATACAACTCCAGCTCTCCCTTTGCACATCTGTGCGGCCACTTGTAAGATCTTCTTTTCCACTGCTAACTGAGTTTTGGGGGTTTCTTTGATCTAACTAAGTGTGAACTTTAGTGTATTATCTGTGACATGCATAATGCCAGATACAAAATGCATCTTGCTAATTCCATTAAAATGTTTAAAAGTGAAATTGGGTCTAGATGAAAGCAATATAGGGCCAACGAGATAGTTCAGCAGACTAAAGCACCTGCTTAGAAAAGCTTAGGCAAGTGCAAGGACTGCAGTTAGATCCCAGTCACCACATACCATGCTAGCTCTACACCAAGGGTGGGCTGAGCATGCCAGAGTCTGGACGGAGTGACACATGTCTGTAATCCCAGATATGGGGAGGCTGAAAGCAGGAAGATTACCACAAGTCCAAGCTATGTGGGGAGGCCCTGTAACAACCAAATCCATTTTAAAAAAATCAATATAAGGTAAAGCAAATTAGATACAATATATTTTGTAGTAGATTCTTTACTTTTATTGTATTTTTATTTATTTGATATAGGGTCTCACTCCACAGGTCAGACTCCTAGTGATTGTCCTGTCTCAGCTTCTCCAACATTGAGATTACAGGCATGTGCTATCACACCTGGTTTCAGAGGCTGGCACATCTGGAGTGGCATGTGGTATTGGGGATCTAAGCCAGGTCCTTTCGCTTGTGAGGCAGGGGCTTAGACCAGCAAGCTATCTCCCTAGTCCAATATAATATATTTTGATACAGCATATTTTTCTCTCTATTAAACCCATAGTTTGGTACGATAAAGACAGAATATAATAACTTGGATATTGCTTGATAATTATAAATATTCATTTGTGATATTTAATCAATTTAAAAGTAGCCTTTGCTATTGGCTGCTTCTTGAGGAAAAGCAAGAAACCTGGTTGAGCTGATTATATCGTTAGCATTTGTTATTTGTTCTTGGATGTGACTTTCACAGCATAATGAGTTTCATTTCAGACAATTTTTGTACGTCTACTAACATTTTTTTCAATTCAGGCTGCACCTGGGGCCAACAAATCAATACTTAGCATTGTTCTATAGTGAGAAATAAAATAGCACTTGTGTCATCATGGGTGAGTTACTCATAATACTACAGAAAATAAAACTTGAAACCAAAACACCAGCCTCAAGATGTTGGGAAAATTTGCAAATAATGTAATGTTCTGCAATAATTTGATGTTATTTCATTGCCTTAAAAGGACATTCACACCCATTAACATGTTTCCTTCTATACTTTATAAAATCCTTTGATGATGTATTACAAAACGTGAATATTATTAAATCAGGTAGCAATAGGTAAGGTGTCATACAAAGGCAAGAATAATGTGAGGAAGAGTTTTAAAAATTTTATTGTTACTTCCTTGGTTCTATCTTTTGTGTGTGTGTGTGGCTAGCTCCACCCACCACGGGTCTTCTCAGTCAAACAAACGTCAAAACTCTCAACAAATCCCAAAAGTGTCAATACATATTAAAAGACAGAATATATATTTAAAAAACCAATTACTTTCTTTACAATTTAAATCATAAACCCTCCTCTTTTTAATATAAGAGAACAAAATGAAGACAACAGGGAAAGCTTCATATTTATTTTTATATTCCTAACACTTCAGTTTCACTTATGGATCAAAAGAATATTTTATGTATTTTTTCACCCTTGAAAATAGATACTGGCTTAAGTTTCATTGTGAATTACATGTTGCTGTAGGCACTGAGAAGAGAGTAGTGATTGGAAAGAAAAATCTGCTACCATAATTGAACATTCATGTTTGCAGGGATTCTGAAGAATTAAAAATATGTATTTTCAGGCAAAGACCAGTACAGTGAAATAAAGTTGCTAGTTTTGAGAGTGACTGGAGGGAGCCCTGTGTGTATGTTTCTGTCAGGGAGATTTTTACCTCTGTACTGAACAGTCAGGCACAGACCAGCAGTGTTGGAGAAATCCTCACATGTAAGGATGGAGCGAGGCTCATTATAGACAGAGGGCATGACATACCCAAAAGCTTGCAGGCAGGAAAGAGATGGTTTAATTTAACAATGAGAAAGAAAGTATGCATTCTTCAGGTACAAGGAGCAAGAAGAACAAGACCACTGCAGAGTCCTCATATCATATCTAGCCTTGTAGACCTCAATACAGACTCTGTATTTCAAAGGAGATTAAATAATGAATAAATAGTTAAACGAGAGAGAGAGAGAGAGAGAGAGAGAGAGAGAGAGAGAGAGAAAAGAAACCAGGGATCACCACAAAGAAGAGGCTAACATGACCAAAAGATAAATGTCCAGACATTAGGACACACACACACAGGCATAGGAATGAATTCTAAAATGTTGAAGTGTTTTAGAGTTGACAAATAACATTTGCAAGAACAATCTCAAGCCAGGACCTCTGGGTAATTTCCTAGGCATCATACTGTTTCAGGCTGGGCCCATGTGGAACACAGTATTTGCTTTCAGTGATTACGGGAACATTCCCGTTGGATCCCTGTTTATCTCTTCTCCTATAGAGATTTAAAATAATGACAGACTAGGGGAAGGCCTGCGTAGAGAAAGAATTATCTCAACAGTTATGCATGTAGACATAGTATTTGGTATAATTGATTCTGTTTAATGATCCCATCTAATAATTTCATTTTAGATCAAGAGGATAATTTTCAAATAATAAAAAATACAGGCAGGCTGCAGTTCCTAAGCACACTGGAGAACAGCTACACATTATGAAATCAACTGGCAGGATTTCAAATGCAGGAGTTCTGGAAGGGAAGGCAGCTTTTTAAGTTCATGGCAAAGTGAAAATAAATAATAGTGTGTCCAGAAGGAAATGGAATGAAAGAAAGCATGAATAAAAAGATGATAGTTGATAAAAATTTAAATGTGTCTCTAAGTGACAGTTGCAAAAATGGAAAATCCCTTGGAGCATAAAGAACACAGATTTTCTAGATTTTGCTAGAATTTTATAGCATATTTCAATGAGCCTTTGAAATTTCAAAGGAAAGTTTTAAGTATGTATTTTTAAAGCAACTATTTGCATTCTGGCAACAACGCCATGGACGTAGAATGTCCCTTCACTTGCCCTGTTTCCTTGTGTTGTCAGTTTATTTGTGTGTCACACAAACACACAGGTGACAGAAATACACTCAGGGTTTTCAAAAACTGAAGGATAATACAGTCACTCCATGTGCACTGAGAAAATGAGAAATTATGCTCTTCTGTGTTGGTCTAAAAGGGACTTATATAATGGTTGCTATTTTTCCAAATATTGGAAGGATTAAAAATAAAATTGGAAATTTGAGAAGACCAAAGTTAATAACTTCAAGAGTAGCTAATAAATGGGGGACTAGGATTGGCTAAGTAGCTTAATATATATATATTTCCCAAAATTTTATTGATAAACAGCAATGAGACAGTTTCAAATCAAATCGGAAGTACAGTTTCAACAAATAACACACTGCATATATTATTCGTAGTGGTTAATTGCTGTACAAGATGCGGACTTGAGATCCTATTTACA